GTAATTATTGTCATGTAAATGACATGTTTTCAGTCTTATTGACTGCTGTTCTGTTACACACAAGGACGCTTGTAAGCGTCTTCGTCTCCCCCATATGCAGACAAACGCCGAACAGAGGACCATCGTTTCTCGTTTTTCTTTTTGATAATGCTGATGAATAGAATATGTGTATCGTGTACACCCCTGTTCTTGTTTAAAGTCAAACTGAAGACTTCACGTTACCATAGCTACCGTTAGCAAGTTTTAATTTGGCGTACGTATATGACATGCTGTCTGTGAGTTTAGCTGGACACGGATCATGCGTGAAACAAGAAATGCATACAAATCAGAGGAATAATGCCATAAGGAGATACAGTAGGAGAGATGCGAAGTTAGCTGAGGAGTTAGAACAAATGATTTTTCGAGAAGTTTCAAGAAAAATAGAAGCTAGTTCAGTTATCTGAAGATAAGTTGTACTAGCGGGCTTTTGTGGTGTCGGCGATGAATTCTCGGTTTTCTTAACAGGGAATTTGTCGTTCAGCCATAATTGTAGGCCTATAAACTGTTCACTGGTTTCTGTTTCGTGTTGTGGTGTACGTCACAGGCTTCGAAATATAAAAAAAAATTAACAACCTGGTTTGTAAAAAACAAACTTTTTGTGTGGATTTCAAATGTATTCATTTTTACTAAATGTTCAACGAAATACAAAAAAAAAAAATATGAGCGGGAACGTCTTTCCTGCTCCGTCTATGTGAATGCGGTTCCAGACTTTTTATAGGCGCCATACTGAACCTTAGGGTCCTTGGGGGGAGAGCAGCTACGTGTGTGTAATCGTGAGTCATGTCGGCGGAAGGAAAACTGTAATTACGACGGCTGGAACACGGCGACACGCCTCCTCGAATCTTCGCGGTGAACACTCATCTCATTGTACGGCGACACATAGGAAGTTCTTGGCAGGGCAGAAGTTGAAATATTGTATTTCCTTTCTGAGAAGAGACAAACACGCAAATCCGTTCCCTGATTGATCGCTTTATTCCAGAAGCCGCGGAATTACTTCCAAATTGTACGGGAATTACTTTGTGAGATTAAGATCCAGGGCTCCAAATTGGAAAGTTGATGGCTTGATGCAGGTGATTAAGTATCATGCCACGAAGACGCGAGGAAGAGTGGAGGTATGACTCCACATATGGTTTACCCCTCCTCTTTACTCCTGGATAAAGAAACCTAGACCCTCTAACAGAAGACCACGTGGCGCTCAGGAGACAAACCCAACCGACAATCGTAGAATCAAACACACCACCGGCTGAGGCCTTCCACAGAACCTTTCCAGGACTTCTCCAGCACTTCTCCAGGACTCTTCCATGACTAAAAATCCTCCGCATAACCTAACCAGTACTTCTCCAGCACTTCTCCAGGACTCTTCCATGACTAAAAATCCTCCGCATAACCTAACCAGTACTTCTCCAGCACTTCTCCAGGACTCTTCCATGACTAAAAATCCTCCGCATAACCTAACCAGTACTTCTCCAGCACTTCTCCAGGACTCTTCCATGACTAAAAATCCTCCGCATAACCTAACCAGTACTTCTCCAGCACTTCTCCAGGACTCTTCCATGACTAAAAATCCTCCGCATAACCTAACCAGTACTTCTCCAGCACTTCTCCAGGACTCTTCCATGACTAAAAATCCTCCGCATAACCTAACCAGTACTTCTCCAGCACTTCTCCAGGACTCTTCCATGACTAAAAATCCTCCGCATAACCTAACCAGTACTTCTCCAGCACTTCTCCAGGACTCTTCCATGACTAAAAATCCTCCGCATAACCTAACCAGTACTTCTCCAGCACTTCTCCAGGAATTCTCCAGGACTAAAAAACCTCCGCATAAACTAACCAGGAATTCTCCGACACTACTCTTCGGCTTATAAAATATTGTGGCTTTTCCACTACTTGCACATTTACGAATGTGAGGATGACGTGTTGATGAAGCACGGTAAAGTCATGAAGATGTTCTTGTAGAACATGACAGTTTCTTGATGAAATTAGATTCTGAGAAAGAGTTCTGTCGCAGAATTTATTCACACGTTCGAAGCCTAAGTCACTTTATGCTACTCAGGAACTGACTGTGGCCTAGCGCGAACTTTAAACTTGGCGTTAGAATATCGTTTTATGTTTCAGCTTCAAGATTACAAATTCCTGGAGCCGACTATAACTTGTGTCGTTAATGGCTACGTACGAAAGGAGAAGGACCAATAGATTTTTTTATTTATTACTCTGTGGACCCATTGCCCTCCCGTGCCACAAATTTATTTGTTTTGTTTTTTTATTATTATTCTGCTGTTTCTTTCCTTCAGTTAAAATTTTGTTACGACTGTAGTATTAATTTCTGTCACAAGTTTTCTACGTAAGGTACAGATATCTCGAAATGTACGTACCAGATTTAATATTTATTTTACCTGAACGACTGGACATGAGAATATCGGTCAAATACCTTCCAGATCAGCGCCTGTGTATGTTTGACATGTTTTCCCCCACCTTCGACGGTGTTTCGGATTCTTATCCCAAAGCTTGACACCTCTTTTGAAATAGCGACGATTTTACGCCAAGTAGATGACTTGATCTTCTCCAAAGTCTCTGGTTGCCATGACACCCGAACGAAAACAGTTGATGAACAAATGGCGTGAGTACTGCAGTGTATCTGCAAAGTTTCTTCAAATTATAATCATCTGTTTGCCGAGAAATTTGACATTAAACTTGGTAGGTACATTTTGGGCTACTCTGTGAGGTTAAAGTAAGTATTAAATAAGTTTGACAATTATTTATTTTAATCCGTCTTATCACAATATTTTAAAATTTCTTATAATTAAGATAATAAAAGATCATTGATGTTCCATATCGATTGATCGATTTACATTTTGGAACATCTTTTACACAACATGTTTCGGTTTTTATAAAACCATCATCAGGTGTAAATTATTTACGAACTTAAAACTCAGATATGATTCCATTTGGTGATGTTTCATGCCATTTGTTTTTCAATTTTGGGCGAGGTGTTGTCTTTTCTTAAATTTTATCAGATGTACATATCGGTCTTAGATGTAGGAGTGATTGTTCCGATATGTCCAGAAGTACTACTGTCATCGTATAGGCGTGGGTCAATAAGTTTGAGATTGCCGTCCTCTGGGTTGACTCCCAGTGTAATCTGATAGAAGTTTACAGACGTTTCAGAGGGCCTTTCTGCATCCATCATCAGGGCGATGAGACCTCGTCGGGGTTAAAACCACAAATCTTACTTAAAAATATACCTGTTACATGCAGTTGCGTTTGTTACGAAGAAAATCACGACGTATTACGAACACTATTTTTGTGACAGTGGCAGAGACAAGTAGGCCTAATTGTGATATTAATGACACAGATTTCGGCACGAAAGGTAGAACTGGACCACACCACAGTTTTTCAAGGTACAGTCTGTTTTAGTGATAACTTACGTTTGGCTATGTGATACAGTGACACGAGAAAAAAAGCAACAGTGGCTTATGGGACGTCCACATATGTATCAGACTAAGCTTGATCTGGGCCGGGTTAGAGCAGAATGTTTCGTGTTTTAAAAGAGCAGACTTTAATTTGGGGTACCAAATATTGAACGTGTTTTAATCATGATCTCGAAGTGGGAAGATTAGTTAGAATTCGGCGTCTAAAATAAGTTATTTCTGATAAATCTTGTAGTTGAAAATGAACGACGTTTGCGAGGTGGTTATTACCCTGATGATGGAAACAGTAAATGCTTCCGAAACATTGATCAATTTCTACCAGACTGCACCGCGCAACGTCTTCATAGCCGCTTCATTAACTCAGATGGAATAGGGCAACGGTAAGATGTTAAGATTGTCCCCACACGGCATCGAACTAGGAGCGTCCAGTCTTCAGCGGTCATTGCCGCCAATCTTTGTAAGTAAAGAGTCCGATGAGCCCATCCTGCCCTCTACAGCCAGAGTGCGCTTGGCCGTCGGAATTTCCAGACGATTTTCTTCGGAATTGGGACCAGAACACAGTAAAAAAATACGTTTATTTTTTTTTAATTTCTGCTTGTTATTCTTATTCTTCTTCTTCGTCTCCACATTTATACTTTCTTGTTGGTTCTCAGTAGATTTTGGTTTTTACTCGGTGCGTCGTTTGAAACGTCTTCATGAAATTGACGTCCTACAGTCGGAGACATTTTGTTGTCATGGAAACACAGCAACCGAGACGGTTTTACGTGTGGTCTAGTAGCGACGAATAGTGATTTCGTGTTATATATAATCGCTGGTTGTAACAGGTATCGTGAAGAATGAGTGTGTTAATTTATATTAAATCAATAACCACAGCCTCTTCCACAATCCATAAAGAAATAAGAATTTATATAGGAAATATCTGAAGTTAAAGATTACTTTAGAGTAAGATAGAAGATAATATTAAAATGGATCTCATGGAAATAGGATGCGAGCTGGATTAATCTGGCTCCGGAAGGAGCCTAGTGGTGGGCTTTTGCGAACACGGTAATGAACCTTCACATTACATAAAAGTGGGTATTCGTTAATCGATTGCGAGACTATTGGTTTTCAAAGAAAGGTAATGTATGAAATTAATATTTTCCTGGTAGAGAATGCCTTTGTTAGTTGTCATTAATATGACGTAACTCTGAAATTTTGGGTTTTGTACCTGAGAGGAGAAAAAGTCTAATGAAATATCTGTGATAATACAGTTTGATCCGTTGAACATGGCCGGCAGTAACTTTGGTGCGTGTGTAAAATCTCCCCACTACAAACTGTATCCTTTTTCTTTAAGATTCACTTTAATATTATCCTCCCAACAACCTTTGAACACGAAGACTGCGAACTGTGGATCTCGTCTTTCGTATGTCCAAATATTCTCAGAACTTTATTGTCATGTTCATTCATTAATGTGACCAATTATTTTGGTGTTTAAAAATAAAAAAATATATAATGTCTTGCTATTTTGATATTTTCTGTGTGTGTGTCCAGTGCTGGGAGACGCCAACTTCCCGTCAGCGTCCGTGGCCAAAGCCGCTGGTACTCGGGTCATCCACTGCGATGGTCACGACATCCCAACCCTGCTGACAGCCATTCTACAGCTCATGCCGCTGGACAAGTACGGCGACTCGCCGGTAATATCAGACACCACGTGTTTATTATAAGAACGTCACCACATTTCTTAACAGTAACATATCCAAAATAAATAAAGGACCTGTCCATAAAAACTACCATTGTAAATTCAGACGACATTGGATATGGTAAGAATGAACGTTGAGGAAAAATACCACTTCATATACCTAGATGCAGATGGGAGGATAATATTAAAGTGAGTATTAAAATAAGTAGAGCATTAGGCTGTGAACCGCCTTTATCTGGCTCAGGTGAGGGACCAGAGGCGGGCTTTTGTCAACACGGTAATGAACTTTTGGGATCCATAAAATGCTGTGAATTTAAGTAGCTTGTGTAGAAGCTCGTTTGTTGGTTAGAAATCAGAGGTATAACATCACACGGAGTTACAACCCGGAAGACAAAAATTGACATGTTGTTTTTCCAACAGGTGACTCTGATGGCGGTGACTGACGCCGATGTTAAACGAGGGGTGAAGACCCCAATCTGGGGGACTTACCAGGAGATAATAAACAGATCTGAAGGGCGTGAGGTACCGATGAAGTCACTGGAGCGATTTTCATTCTACGAAAGAGCCAAGAACGCTTATGCTGTTGTCAATACTGGGTAAGTAATTTCTGGAATTTCGATGAGATGCGCCTTAATTTGCCTGTGAATTGTGAGTCAGCGACCACAATCCACTTGCTGATTTGACCCCCCCCCCAAAAAAAAAAAAATAATAATATTCTTTTCGGTACACTAAACACTAACCCTGGTACAGACATTTGTCTCTGGGTGGTAAATGCAATTTTCAAGATGGCGAGTAGCCGAAATGTATTCTGCAAAAATTTAATAATTTGTCCTCTGAATTTTCGATTTATAGATTTCGTCTAATTCTCAGTGCAAACAGCGATTATGTCCTTAAACAGCGTTAACCAGTTGATCTTTGTAATGGTGAAGTGAAGTGTTTTCTTCGCGGTACGGACTGGATTCTTAAATATTATTTGAACGAGTCTCTGCTCTAAATGGTTAATTAATTATCAGAATAAATTATATTATTTCCTTAAACAGCGTTAACCAGTTAATCTTTGTAATGGTGAAGTGAAGTGTTTTCTTCGCGGTACGGACTGAATTCTTAAATATTATTTAGACGATCTTCGTGCTTCAAAGGGTTAACCAGTTGATCTTTCTGATGGTGAAGTGAAGTATTTTCTTTGCGGTACGAACTGAATTCTTAAATATTTTATCGAGACGAACTTCGGGTTCATGGGATTAATGATTATTCATTACGTTTTGAGCGCACATTAAGGCGAACCAAATCGTCTGACGCGCTGTGACACTGGACAAACAAAGAAATTGCGTTTGGAATTGTGACCCAATGCGCCTTATAACGTAACAAGTAGCACAGCGTAAATCTTGCTCCAGTCCTACAAGTCGCTGTGATTGTATTAATAATTGTGATTATCAGTTTCGGTAATTGAAGTGATCTTGTCGCTTTCTTCCAATTATCAGTTCTGACGAGGTCAGTTGCTCCCTTATAATTACCCGCTTAGCCGCCAGATCTCTTTTCAGTTTTGAGTCCCGGCTTTTCGTGACTCATTTGTAGACCGATATTGTCATTATTATTTTCTGTACAGTTTCTCTTCCTGAAAATGGACCACCCACCAATTAACGATAATATCAAGACGAGAATGAACTCTCTAAATACTTTTTACACTTCAATTCAGAACCAAGCGATTTCGATATGAGATGACGAAGGAAATGTCTGACACTCCTAATTATTAGAGGAAATCAGCTGTTTTGTACGTACCATCTCAGTACCAATCGAATCCTTTGCTTCTGCGGTAAAGCCGCCACATTTTAATTCCATATGCGCGATTCTGATCGACAATTCAGAAGAATTTCATAACAGTTCATTTCATCCGTGTTATTGTAACAAAACAAGGCTCTGACTTTGCTCGCTTTCGGGATTGTTAGACCTGCATTATATCTGAATTACATTCTCATGTCAACAATAAATTTTAAATAAAGTTAATAAATTATAAATAAATTGTATTAAAAATAAGGAAAAACAAAAATGAGCCGCTGCTATTAATGCTATTTAAAAACGTTTACGTTAATTACCAAACCCAAATCGTTTATCCAAAATGTAACCCAATGCTTCAGTTGGTAGCTATGCACGTGACTCCCATTACATAGTTCCGTAGAACGAAATTTGGGGAATTTAGGAATTCAAGGGTTGGCAGTCCTCATTTCCGGTTTTCGTGTTTTACTTCCGCTAAATGAGTTGCTATTTTGTTGTTTTTTTTACATCTTAACCGAGTCATTTTCTTCAATTATTAATTGTGTTAATGCAATGTTCAATCATCAGAGCGTGTAAGTCGATGTGGATTTTCATCGAAGTTTTTTTGAAGTAATTTCAAAGCTTTGTGGCGTGGCCACGTACTTTTGAAGCCGAAGCTCATATAAATAATATTTAGGTATTCGTCCCGTACCGCGAAGAAAACACTTCACTTAACCATTACAAAGATCAACAGATTATTGCTGCTAACAATGAAAAACGTGCACAGCCCATGAGTAGCAAATGGAGCGAAACTTATTGTTGAAAGGATTAGGGCTTGTAAGTGGTTAATTTGCAAGAAATTTTTGGACGCAAATTTAAATGAAGGCAGAAATGGTAACTGGGAAATCAGTCATATTTTCTGTTACGTTGAGTTCAGGAAGGCCTGGGGGGGGGGGGGAGAGGCCACGCCCACCAGAACACCAACAGGGAGGGGTTGTAAATACGAATCTTATTGGTCGTCCAGGAGCCTCTGGGGAAAACCCAATTGGCAGGGCGTGCATGCACTAGTCTTACAGATGGGCTTCTTAAATATACTCTTTTTATTTTGCGATGCAAATTATCACGTGATGCAACCAACTATTAGCGGTTGGGAGAGGGGGGTAAACCGCTGCGAGGGGGGGGGGGGG